ATAATTTTTATCGGCTTATTGTTTATTTAGAATTGAAATTAATTCAGCATCTTTGTTTTCGGCCCATTTTTGGCACTCCCCCAGAAAAAGCTTCACGGTCCCCAGGGGGGCCACGGCTCCCACTTTGGGAAATACTGTGTTAGATAATATGACCAGCTGTAACAGGTGTATAGGTTAACTGGTGTTACTGGTTTAGTTGACCTCTTATTTGTTTGTTATATTAGTACAGAAACAATGAAATGTTAAACTATTTTAATTTGCATAAACACACTTTAATTTAGATCTAAAACGCATTTAACTTTTCAAACAAATATAGGCATAAAAATTAGGATCTGGTGTCACCTAGCGTTTATCATACCAGTTTTTGGATCGAAATCTCCAAGGTTTGAGCCCGTGATGTGCCACTGAACATGAACCACATTTTCAACTGTCGGTAAGTTTCAGTGACACTCAATCTGGTTATTCGGATGAGAGTAGCCTAAACGTGTAGGCGGCTGGCGCTGCTAACAAGTTACCTTGGTTAGTATTTTTAAATTAGGGATCTCTTAGCCGCTTAGCCCACATCATTGCATCAGGATGAAAACATCAAATATAATAAAAAAAGTTATACGTATCTCAATACATGTTTAGCAAATGGATTTTAAAGTTTCCTGGGGAAAAAAAACAACAAAAATAACGTTTGTTTCTTTGTTGCATTAGGAAAATTGAAATTAACGCGATTGATAGATAGACACGTTGTTTTAATAGGTACGACTTAAATGTATTTTTAATTCCAGGCTGAAGAAAATAATTCAAAATATACGCCATTTTCTTAATAAGCTAAACCTTTTCTTTCTTCCTTTTTTAGGGGCTGAAAATCATTATACTTCTTAAATCTTGATGTATAATACAGAGGTTAGTGTCAAATAAAAATAAATGTGTGTATTTAAAATTGAGTAAACGGTTTACACAAAAAATGCGGTAACTAGTTTTTTTTTCCAAGGAGCCAATCAAGGGCTTTGTCTGGCCTTGAACCGAATGACAGGATTTGCTGACACAACTGGAAGCGTAGATTGTTTTTTGTTGTTTTTTTTTAATTTCGCGCAAAGCTACATGAGGGCTATCTGCGTTAGCCGTCCCTAATTTAGCAGTGTAAGACTAGAGGGAAGGCAGCTAGTCATGACCACCCACCACCAACTCTTGGGCTACTCTTTTATCAACGAATAGTGGGATTGACCGCACATTATAATGCCCCCTCGGCTGAAAGGACGAGCATGTTTGGTGGGACAGGTATTTGAACCCGCGACCCTCGGGTTACGAGTCGAGCGCTCAAGCCACCTGACCATCGTCCAGAAAGAGAGAAAACCTTATATTTTTAGCCGACACGTAATTTACAAAAACAAAATGATATCAAAACTCAGCAAAAGTAGTGAACCATGGCACATTTAATTAGTAATCTTGTCATGTTTTTGTTTGTTTGTTTTTAACTTTGAAGGTCAAAGTTACTTCTCTTTTAGATTTGAGATGTTTACATTGACTCAAACACACATGACTTGATGTAATTACATGATACCTTTGAAATTAAGGCGTCACTAAGATGTTGTGTGTCACGTGTTTTTATTTTTTGGTTTATGATGAAAGAGAACTTTTGTTAATGTGACATTTATACGAGAGTTAGTCGCTAAATACTAATCACTTCTTGTCTGAATTACTGGTGCACCTTGGGAAAAAAAATATATACGTTTACAGGTTTTAAAAATATAAATAGTTTGATGTAAGACCGAAACAAAGATTTGGAAAGGAATGAGTGACGAAAGATTAAACACAGATGGAAACGTGATACTCTAGAATGAGTAAGTTTTTATTTGAATACAATCATCACAAAATTCTTTGCAGAGAATTCACGAGGTTCGAGGTTCACGAATACAGAGGTAATTAAATTGACTTGAGACGTGTAGGTTCTTTAAATTTAAAAATATATGATTAATAAAAAAGAACGAAACGTTGACTTGAGACGTGTAGGTTCTTTAAATTTAAAAATATATGATTAAAAAAAAAGCACGAAACGTCAAGATCTATTTCTTTGATCCAAATTAGTAAAACACCTTTTAAAGACAGTGAAGTTTTAAAACTAAATTCGCATGCAAAATATAAGCAATTCAATATTTAAAATAATCTGTAAACATTTTTATAAGCATTTTAAAGTTGCAGTAAGAAGTGAATGTTTTTTTATCATTAGTTAATTACATATGGTTATATGAAATTAATTTGCATCATAAAAAGGTCATTAAACTCTCAAATGTTGCCTTTGAAATTATTTGCTAACACTAGGCACAGGCTGTTTTGATATGATCTCATGAGTACAAGACTGAGGAAGTATTGCTCATTTCAGGAATCATGGAAAATCTCTATACGTTTTTTTTTATAATAACAGACCATTGTGATGTGGCCTGATAGAGCTTAAAGGGAAAGATGCAAGGCTTAGGAAGATATCGTTCATTTGAGGCACCATTGGAAATGTTTTAAGAGGCTCCCTTAATCCATACATTCCTTCTTGCACCACAAACCGTTGTAGCGTGGCCTGGTGTACTGACAGAGTAGAGCTTAAAGGGAGGGGTGCAAGGCATAGAAAGATACCGTTCATTTTAGATATCATAGGAAAAGTTTTGAGATGCCCCCTTTGTCATTTTATACGTGCTTTTGGAATCACTGGAACAAACATAAATGTGGAATGCTGTAAACTTAAGTGCTTTGAAAAGGCTTTTAATTGTTCTAATACTTAAGTAGGCTTACGTCCAAGGCTCTAATTGGTTAAGTTCTACCAAGTACGTTGTTGACCAACATATTCATGTCCATAAGTATAACACCATAAACGAAATTTGGCGCCATCTACATCGAAAACCAAATAATAAACAAATGCTAAAAGATAGAAAGCAGACAAAACAAGTAAAATGTTTCATAATAATTATTTGAGAATAAACAGTCCGCGTTCTTGATTCATGTTTATGAACAACGTTGTTACGTCTAAATGTTTTTCATAACACGTTATGTTGTGAGCAAAACAATATATATATATACAAATGCATTGAATCATTTTTTCTTCTTGTTTGACCATATCTCAAAGGCCACTTTAATTTTCTTTTCTTTTTTTCTCGTAGCACAAGTATTGAGAGTAATTTAAAAACAGTTGATTCTTGTTTCATCTAAACAAGAACTTTAAAATTACTTGAATTTCAGTTTTCTTCTCCTGAAAGTAAAATGCGAATTGTCCAAATTAGAGCCTGAGTATCAACTAGTGGAATATATATTTGATAAATGATTGATATCCTTTAAAAATTCAAGATTTTCGCCTCAAGGTCCTTAATAATTTTCCTATTTTTTTTTATCGTAAACTTTATTTTTGACTAAGAGTTATTAATTACATGACCGTCTTCTTAACCAAGAAAAGGTTTGTTTGTTGGAAGTTAAGCACAAAGCTACACAATGGGCTATCTGTGCTCTGCCCACCACGGGTATCGAAACTCTCTGACGCGTTAAGGGGACCCGTCATGGCCAGGTGGTTAGGTCTCTCTACTCGCAATCTGCGGATCGCGAGTTCGAATCCTCGTCCCACCAAACATACTCACCCTTTCAGCCGTGGGGGCGTTAAAAAGTGACGGTCAATCCCAATATTCGTTGGTAAAAGAGTAGCCCACAAGTTGGCGTTGGATGGTGATGACTAGCTGCCTTCCCTCTAGTCTTGAACTGCTAAATTAGGGACAGCTAGCGTATTTAGTTTCATTTGTATGGTAGTTTGTCTTACTACACACACACACACACATATATTATTTTGGTAGAGCCAAATCAGCTTAATATCTAATTATCTACAAGATTTCTTAAAGTTTTACGTTAGTGCGCACACTTTAATAATTAGTTTTTACTTGTTTCAAAGTGTGGACTTGTAGAAGGGACTTCGTAATACATGACAGAAGCACTTCTATTTGTGACAGGATGTGGTCTACTTGTTAATGTTCTCGAACTGTGAATTCAAGGAGGATTCATGGTTCGGAAAATGTTGTCGGTTTCTCTATACAGCTACTAATACATAATAACTACAAATCAACTGTTTGTTAACCAGGTTTCTCTATACAGCTAATAATACACAATAATAACAAATCAACTATTTGTTAACCACGTTTCTTCATGCCATTGTGTATTACTTTGCCTAGTCAAGATCATTGTGAAATAGTTTGTATTTCTTTTTATTTCAGTTACGGTTGTCACTGATTATCCAAGTTCCTGGATATCTCAGCTCCGTAATTATTCAAAATAAAAACCAGAGATATCCATAAAAGTAGGATATTACTCTTTACCAGAAGATATTTCACATCAGTAAGAAAATTATCGGGAATTCTTACTGAAACAAACAATAGCTTTGTCCGAGTAACATTAATTTATCTAAATTAAAGTATTTCATAAATTATTTGGAAGGTTTCTTAAAATTTTCTTTAGTTTGTATCGTTTTACAATGTAAATCAGTTTTTCGTTATTCGTTACAATATTGTTTAGAGTCACTTCTGTAAACAATCCCTCTTTGTTTCCAGTTCTCCGTGATGATTTTCGATCTAATCCAAAAGACGTGCAAGTAGCCAGAGGAGACTCAGCAACTCTAGAGTGTACGCCACCTCGCGGCCACCCTGACCCTACAGTCACCTGGGAAAAAAATGGCCGTCCTCTCGATGATGAAGCTGGTCGCGTTCGTTTAATAGGCCCTGGAAATCTACTGATTGAAGACATACGAGAGGATGATGAGGGACAGTATACGTGCGTTGCACAGAATACAGTAAGCGTTCGCAAGTCTTCGACAGCCATCTTAACTGTCCGTGGTATGAAATTCGATGTTGATCGTATATATATATATATTTATTTATTTATTTTAATGTGTAAAAATTCCTCATCCGTAACAGTTTTACGTATTAGAATAATAAGCCTGTAAGCAATGTCATTTATAATACATAAATTTAATATAAATATTATCATGCATTTAGAGAAACTATAACAATCTCTTGATTGGTAAATTATAATGACGCAATAAACACAAGGGCGCTACAATGATATCCACCGTAAATATAAGAGCACTAGAATGATATCCACCGTAAATACAAGAGCACTACAATGATATCCACCGTAAATACAAGAGTACTACAATGATATCTACCGTAAATACAAGATCATTACAATGATATCCACCGTAAATACAAGAGTATTACAATGATATCCACCGTAAATATAAGAGCACTAGAATGATATCCACCGTAAATACAAGAGCACTACAATGATATCCACCGTAAATACAAGAGTACTACAATGATATCTACCGTAAATACAAGATCACTACAATGATATCCATCGTAAATACAAGAGTACTACAATGATATCCACTGTAAATACAAGGGCACTACAATGACATCCACCGTAAATACAAGAGTACTACAATGATATCCACCGTAAATACAAGGGCACTACAATGATATCCACCGTAAAAACCAGGGCACTACAATGATATCCACCGTAAACACAAGAGCACTAGAATGATATCCACCGTAAATACAAGATCACTACAATGATATCCACTGTAAATACAAGGGCACTACAATGACATCCACCGTAAATACAAGAGTACTACAATGATATCCACCGTAAACACAAGAGCACTACAATGATATCCACCGTAGGTACAAGATCACTACAGTGATATCCACTGTAAATACAAGAGTACTACAATGATATCCACCGTAAATACAAGAGCACTACAGTGATATCCACCGTAAACACAAGGGCACTACAATGACATGCACCACCATAACACAAAGCTGTATTTTTTAACACTTTGTACACTATGGGGTTCAGCTGTGTATCTGATAAGAGCTGAGAATTATATTCCTGTCCGTATTTGTAGAGAATTAATTGTGACTAAATCGTCAGTGTTTAGTAAATCTCATTTCACAAGGAAATGAAATAAAACAGGATTGTCTAAATGAGCGAACTTCCATGGATCACTAAACTGTTTTTAATAATTACTTGCTTTACCCGAATTTTTACTCTATTTTTGTATATTTCATGTGCTGAAAGCCCTGTGATCCCTTAGTTCACAAGACAGAAATCGATTGAAGTGTATTTACTAAACTTCATTAGGCACGAATTTAACAGAAGCATCGCATTGGTTCGCGATTCTCGGTGCTCGTGCTTCTGAGATAAAGAAGCGAATTCTATTCAAAGAAGTATGGAATCGTGGTTTATCAGAGCTTTTCTTCTGTCATCACTTCTTCAAGATTTTTGTTTTGTTACTTTGAGATTAACGTGCGTGCTTTATCGCCTCTTCACACTCTGTTGCTACAGCTTTTCAAAGTATCAGTTTTCTCAATAACTTGTATCCAGGCGATATCGTGGCGGTTATATCACGTGCCCTCTTATACGACAAAATCTTATATTCTATGTTTAAACACGCTTTATTCTGGCTACCAAAATCAACTCTCGCTGTATGTTTGAATTATTATTATTATCAATTTTACTTTTACCCACTATAGGTTTTATCGGGGGTATTCACAAATATTACTGGGTGGTTAAAAAAAATAATTAAAAGGGTTATATCTTTCGGCATTTATGTGTTGAGAAATACGTTGAAGTGTTGTGTTTCTGTGATCAACTGTTGAGAAATACGTTGAACTGTTGTGTTTCTGTGATCAAGTGTTGAGAAATACGTTGAACTGTTGTGTTTCTGTGATCAAGTGTTGAGAAATACGTTGAACTGTTGTGTTTCTGTGATCATGTGTTGAGAAATACGTTGAAATGCTGTGTTTCTGTGATCAAGTGTTGAGAAATACGTTGAACTGCTGTGTTTCTGTGATCAACTGTTGAGAAATACGTTGAACTGCTGTGTTTCTGTGATTTGTTTGTTTGTTTGTAATTAAGCACAAACCTACACAATGGGCTATCTGTGCTCTGCCCACCACGGGTATCGAAACCCGGATTTTAGCATTGTAAGTCCGCAGACATACCGCTGTGCCACTGGGGGGGCGTGTTTCTGTGATCCAGTGTTGAGAAGTACGTTGAACTGCTGTGTTTTGGTGCTCAGGTGCTGAAAAATACATTGAACTGTTTCTTTAAGATCAATCATTTTTTTTGAAACCGTGTATTTAATAAATCCAAAACAACATCTATAAAATCCGTGAAACAGAAAGATTGAGAAATTACCTATATGCAGGTCAATGGTGTGAAATTTAAAACCTTCTCTAGCTTTAAACCAGTTTCTAATGACTCAGGCTTCTCCCTTCCCTAAGAACACAAGGCTTTGACATGTGAACTGTAGTTCCAAAAACACAGTCCTTTCCAAAACATGTGTCGGATCTTTAGCCCTAGAATTGTTTCACGCTAAACACATGTTAAAAACAGTCCGTGTGACATGTTTGATCGATCAACTCTTAACCATTCTTGGACTGTGTTTTAAACAGAAAAGTCCAACTGTGATACAAAAAAAAGAAAGAAAAGATAAACAAACAATAAAATGACTATCAAGATCAATAGGAATTTAAAAAAACAACGTTTTTTCTTAATTTACATGTTTCAATAATAATAAAAATGTATTTTTATAGTATTTTTATTCACAAAATCATCATGTTGTTCACGAAAACATCATTCAGTTTATTTAATTACCCCTAAACATTAATATTTTGAAGTTCAAATCTAGAAAGGAAAATTTCGTATTACATATTTGAGTAATGCTTTTAGCAAAAAGGAAAGTAGACG